TTCATTCTGTCTTTATTGAACAGCCTAGAAAGCCTCACATGAGGAAGGAGTGAGGGATAGTTTACAGGAATCTTCAACAGAGGTTTACAAGGGCAGAATCACTGGCTCCAACTGACCCAGACAACAAACATCATCATTTATCAAGCAACATCCATCAGTGGTTACTTTCAACCTTTATGATAGATTTTTACAAAGCTGCTTTCAACTTCTGTGTTTACTGCTTTCAGCAAATGATACCTGTGCATTGCCTGGGTCAGGGGCACAGGAGGAGCACATAACTTAAGACTGCAGCTGTGCATCAGCTTAGGTTGCAAAAGTCGATTCCATGGAAAATCCGAGGCAGGTAAGGTTGACTGTTACACTGTTTTCTTAAAAGCAGATTACTCTTTGTCTCCAGATGGTGCTGAGAAGACAGGCTGCCACCAAGATATTAGTGGGTTGGTTCTGCTCTCTTGACAAGGTGTCATGGCCCTTGAAACGGCCTTTGAACTGAGCCTCATTCTGTGTTACTCTGTGTTACTGTCTTAGTTAGGGTTTCTATTGCTGTGATGAAACACTATGACCAAAAGCAACTTGAGAAGAAGAGGGTTTAGTTCACTCACAGTTCCTTATCATCAAAAGCGGTGAGGGAAGGAACTCAAGCAGGGCAGGAACCTGGAGCAAGAACAATGCAGAGGTCATTGAAGGATGCTGCTCATTGGCTTGCTCCTTGTGGCTTGTTCCGCCTGCTTTCTTTTAGACCCCAGTACCACCATCCCAAGGATGGCACCACCCACAATTGACTGGCTGCCCCCCATCAATCACTAACTAAGAAAATGCTCTGCAGGCCTGATCATATGGAGGCAGTTTCTCAACTGAGGCTCCCTCCTCTCAGATGACTTCAGTTTGTGTCAAGCTGACACAAAACCAGCCAGCACAACCGGCCCTTGTCAACTTGACACACAAATGCATCGCTTCCCAGTTAGAACCATTCCTTTCTTTTTTGTCCCCAACACAGCACATTAATATTAATATCACAACATAAAACATAAATAACTTTAAAAGTCTAAGTCTTCATAAATCCAAACACATTAGAAGTTCAGTTAAAAATCCAAAATCTCTTTTAAAAGTTCAAAGTCTCTCCACTGTGGGCTCCTACAAAAATTAAAATTAAGCTAAATACTTTCTTAATTTAAGAGGAAAGAACAAGGGCACAGTTTCAATCTGAAAAAAAAAAAAAGCAAAACCAAACTTCAGCAGTGTAAATAACTCAATATTCAATATCCGGGATTCACTCACATTCTTCTGGGCTCCTCCAGGGGGCTTGGATCACGTCTCTGGCTCCACCCTCTGCAACACAGACAGTTTGTCCTCTAGGCTCTGGCTGGCTCCACTCCACTGCTGCTGCAGTTCTTGGTGGTACTGGCGTCTCCAAAATTCTCAGGTCTTCTGCTGCAACTGGGCTACACTTTCACCAATAGCCTCTCCTGGCTCTCCTCATGGTGCCAAGCCTCAACTTCTCTCCATGACTCCTTCAATTCTGTGCCTTCAACTGCCACTGAGGCTGCACCTTCACCAATGGCCTCTCATGGCCTCTCACAGTGCCACGTCTCAGATGTTCTTCATGAGGTAGAACTCTTAGCTGCTTCTCCAGCACCATGTCTGCCTCCACGCAGCCATGCTTCTAGCCATGATGATAAAGGACTAAACTTCTGAAACTGTAAGCCAGCTGCAATTAAATGTTTTTCCTTTATAAGAGTTGCCATGGTCATAGCGTCTCTTTACAGCAAGAAAACATAACTAAGTCAGGGAGGAACAGGTGTGTTTGGCTTACACTTCCGTATTGCTGTTCATCATCAAAGGAAGTCAGGACAAGAACTCAAATAGGGCAGGAACCTGGAGACAGGAACTGATGCAGAGGCCATGGAGGAGTGCTGCTAACTGGCTTGGTTCATGTGGCTTGCTCAGCCTGCTTTCTTATAGACCCCAGGACCACCAGCTCAGGGATGGCACCACCCACAATAGGCTGCCCTCGCCCCCCATCAATTACTAAGTAAGAGAATGCTCTACAGGCTTGCCTATAGCCTGATCTTCTGGAGGAAGACTGAGGTTCAATTGAGGTTCCCTATTCTCAGATGGCTTTAGCTTGTGTCAAGTTGACATAAAACTAACCATGACAGTTATGTAGCTCTGACAGACTTCATTCTTCATGTACAAGATTTAGATACTGAACCTCCCATTAAGCCTCAGTTTCCTGTCTCTTCCATCTCAGCTGCTTGGGATCTTGTCATTGCTGACTTTCAAAGGTTTTTCTTTAGTCTGAGAATGAGCACTGGCTCCCAGTGAGGCTGATCACAGCCTCAGAAAGCGGAGGCTCTCACCACCTTGAGGCCACCTCTGCTACTGCCCTCATCATTTCTGTTGTCATCACCTGCTCACAGGCACACGGCTCTAAGTAGTTCTTCATCTTTCTGTCCCCAGTACCCCATACAGAGTTACTGTGTAATTAGCACTGTTGACCAATTCTTGTCTTATTGAGCACAATATCCCCTGTGTTACCTTCCTTTACCTCAAGAACAAATCTCATGAATTATAATTCCTCCAGGAGAGATGAGAAGGGAATCTCGACTTTGAGCCATCACTCATGTTTACTTTATTCCTAATAATTGATGATTTCGATGCTATGGTTACTGACACAGAAAACTGAGGCTTAGTGAGTTCAGTATTGTAAGTCCCGCAATTGTGTGGAAGCTGGTACAGCGACCCAGAATGCCCAGAAATGTAGAATTAAACCTGATGGTCAAGTTCTATGTGATGGGGTAGAGCAGTGTCAGGGCTTCTGAAGACAACATCTAACAAACGCAGCACGGAATGTGGTGGCCAAATGATGTGAGGGGGAGTAGGGGAGAGAGGAAGAGTGAGAAGACAACATTCAATATGACACGGAAATAAATGGTGGCCAAGGAGTATGGGGTGGGGTAGGGCAGTGTGGGAGAAAAGAAGACAGCGTACAACCAACACGGTCTGGGAAACGGTGGTCCAGCAGTGTGGGGTGGGATGAGGCCATGAAAGGGGAGGATAAAACAACGCTCAACCTGACATAGGACACAGTGGGAAAATCCTGTGGAGTGGGTCAGAGTGGTGAAGAGAACACTGGATGTCAAAGAAGCAGAGGAGTGGGTTTGGCCAGGCTGCTTTGGTCAAGAACGCCTGGTGGTCAGACATGCTGGCTTATGTGTCTGGAGCTCTGTGTACAAACTTGGAGAGCCATAAAGACTGAGAGTTCATGTGTGATAAAAACCCAAGTTGTGTGTGTGTGTATGGGGGGGGGATGAGCTGAAGAGAATCATGGGCACCCCGAGCAGATAAAGGATGAATGAGAGAAAGTGTCCAAAAGAATTCTGCAATGGAGAGGGAAGACAATTAAATATGAAGAGCAGGTGCTGTCCAGCCACAATAGAAATTCCTGGAAAAAATTGAAAACATAGTTGGATATATGCTCCAAAGAATCTAAGTCAGCAAACCACAGAAGTACCTACATACCCATGTTTATTATGACACTATTCACAATAGCCAAGTTATGAAACCAGACTAGATACCCATTAACAGATCAACAGATAAAAAATATGTAATGTGTATACAATGGGATATAGTCAGTCATAAGGAAAAATGAAATAATTTCATTCACTAGAAAATGGATGGAACTGGAGATCACATTAAGCTAAATAAGTTAGACTATGTGAGAAGGTACCATGTACTTTCCCCCATGTGTGAAATGGAGATTTATTTTACAGCTCACTTTCTCAGTTAACAAAACAAGCACAGAAAAGGAGGACTATAAAATGTTGCAGACACACGAAGCAGATAAAAACAGAAAAGCAGCCAATGTTTTGGTAGTGAGGGATGGCGCGCTGTTACAGGGGCATAAAAATGAGGTTTCCACGAATTCAAGAAGAAGCAAGTCTTGGAAACAAATATAATCTACTCCCTCAGTTCTGAAAGGATTAAAAAGAAAAAAAAAACTGCAGTGGTTGGGGGAGGGTGGATGCCAAGGCAGGGGACAAGCTCTCCAGTTAAACATGAAAATGCGGGAATCGTTCTTTACTGAGGAAAACTAGCTGGTGGAGAAGCTTTTCCTCTGGGATGTCCCCGCTTGTTTCTCTCCACCTGCACTAGCCGCCTTGCCCTGCATCCACTGTCCGCACTGTTTCCTGCCTCTGATGCCGTGGTCAAATGCCCCAGCTTTTCTGACCATCTGAGACACAACCTACCCCCTTGACAGAATTTTGGCAATCTATTTCTAGACACAAAAGCCACATTTTCAGCAAGAGATGCAGCCTGGCGCCTCTTTCTCCCAATCCTGCCACTCAGTGTTGCCTTGATGCTCCCAGGGTAGACAAAGCAGAGAGGATGGAAGTTCCCAGGGGAGCGCTCGATGCCCAAACCCTTCGTGTTCGTCTTCCTAGAAGTCACCCTTGCCTGCCATTGAGCAATGGCCCCTATGGGAACAAATTCTGTGTAGGCCTAACTGGGCTTAGAACTACTAAGGAACAATTTTAATTAATTTAAGTTGAAACAGCCACATATGGTCAATGGCTAACCCATGGGACAACGTGTCGCTGGCCATCCAAACCCCCCAATCCACCCCCACTTCCGCCACCCCCACCTCCACCCTCAACCCAGCCCTAGCTTCAGAGTGAGATCCTGAGCCTTTCAGGATGGTAGAAGCTGGATCCCCAGGAGGACTAGGTGACTGTCCCTGCGTACTGGATGGAAGGTAGGGGGTGGCCCTGCTGTCTCCAAGGGGAGCCATGCAGGACAATCAGAGGGAGCTGAAAATGAGCACCAGAATGTGACAGGGTCAAGGTGAGACCTAAGGCTGCGAACATAAAGCCAACGAAGGGCTGGAAGGGCTGGAGGCAGAGCGAGAAATGAAGCGGACCAGACAGCGCTGTAGACTTGGGACTCACACCAAAGCCCAGCAAGCTCCCCAAATTCCCACCCCTCCTCCCTTCCCCTCCTTGCTGCCGAATTAGTAGAGAGACCATTGGGCATCTCCTAGTGCAGACTCCTTGTTTGGTAGACGAGTGAGCAGGGTGCAGATGACTGGAGTCGTAGATTGAACTTGTGGCAGAATCAGGAGACCAGAGTCCTCCTCACTCTCAAGCCCATGTCCCCTCTCCCCACCCCTAACCGGTTCCCCTAAAGGAAGGCAGAGCGACCTCGGAAGAACTGCAGATAGACAATAACCAGGCAGAGGGCACCCCAAAACAGACACCAGCGAAATGAGAAGAAGCTGTAGATAAACCCGGCCTGGGCTTTCCTCTTGGAGGCATCGGTGTAGGCGGCGTCCTCCTCCAGCAGCTTCTCGCTGGGCTTCCAGTGCACGATGCCTTCCTGGCAGGCCTCGCAGAACTCGCCGCGGTGCAGCCCGCTGTCCGGCCGGCTGGCCACGTGGATGCGGTACTGGCCACCGTCTTCGTCGTAGCACTGCTCGCGCAGGCTGGTGATGAGGTTGTCCACCAGGCCCTCGATGTTCTCCTCCAGCATGCTGGACTCGTCCAGCCGTGAGGTGCCGCACTGGTAGCACAGCTGCTTGAACACGCGCATGCGCACCGAACCAACGCGCTGGGCACGGTCGAGGTGCATGTGGAAGAGGATGACCACATTTGCGGACTGCCAGGTGTGCCAGCACCAGGAGCAGTGGAACCTGCCAGGAAAGGAAGGGGTAACAGAGCTAGTGAGACTCTCACGGACAGCCAGCCCTGGGGAGCACAGGAAAGAAAAGGCCGGAAGCGTTAGAGGCTGGATGGAAATGGAAGCGCGATGTTTACCAGTTCGTGGGTTTGTTATCACTGGAGGTCACCAGCTACCACCTGGGGACCAGAGTAGCATCCTTAGGAGCCTAGCACTGAAACCACCTGGCAACCAGCCAGCCATCATCCGGAAGCTGCCTCCTGTGTGCCCTCTCGCAGCCTATTACAGAACTGCATCTGCTCAGCTTGCAAAGAAAGTATGGCTCCCTTTCTCTGCAACTCGTTTCTTATCTGCTAGCTGCAGTGTGATGGTGTCCAGGCTAGACTTCGTGCTCAGACGTTGCTCTGAAAAGGGAGTGGCAATGTCACCGTCTGACTCCTGAATCTTGCTTGCTCTCAGGAGATGGCAGGGAAGCTCAGATCCTAGCACATTGTAGGGCTGCAGCAAGCTAGCCAGGAAAGCAGGGTAGATTGGCAGCCTGCAGCAGACTGGATCAGAGAGAATGCTACGCTCAGTTCTTACATCTTCCCAGAGGCACCCCCCTTGACCTGTCATCTCCAGGGACCGCAGCAGTCCTGGGTGAGAATGGGAAAGGTAGACTTTGTCCCCTCACTTACCTACCCCCAACCTGACCTTCACACAGGTCACGTTGTCTAATCTGGACTCCTAAAGCCACAGCCTCAGAAAGCCTGGAGGGAGGTGGCCTGGGGATCACTTGCTAAGCCCAGCTCCTCTTAGCCTCCCAATAGTGTTGACATACCGGTGATGGAGCTCTCTTTAACTCCAGGGAGGCCCCTTGTGCCCCTGAACTGGCCTCTTGTAAGCCCCTGTTACAAAGGCTTAGGAGGCATTTGCATGTTCACTGGGCTGTTTCTGCCTAAGTCCATTGCATGATGGCTTCAAAGGACCTCTGATGAAGAACTCAGTTCAATCCAACAGGCGCCAACTGTATTCCAAGCACGACTCAGCCACTGTGGAATAGCAGTGACAGCAAGCCAGCCCCTGACCCCAGCAAGCCACCGACAATATGAACACAGAACAATACCCAATGCCTCCCAAGACATGGTCAAAAGTGAGGAGGAATCTGATTGGTCCTGGATTGGGAGCCTTCCACTCTCCTCCCCATCCCTGCACAGGGCCAGTGATGCTGGGCCTGAGATTTAAAACATCTGAAAGATGAAAAGCAAAAGAGCCTGTGTGCACAATGACTGTGCTTCAGCTCTTCCTGAGGCCGGCTGGGACTAAACCCCGAGGTGAGAAGATCTGTGAGCCTTTGCAGCTGTACCTAAACTCCAGAAACCCCCACATACCCATTCCCAGCCTTCTGCACATTGTCCTCCAAGAGGCTGAAATGCTTTGCATTTTCAGTCCCCTACGTTGTTTTAAATAAGCCAGTCCAGAATTATTTCCCCTCTCTCAAGCCAAACCCCATATCTCCAAAAGTATCCAACATGGGCGAGCATTTTGGGAGAGATGAGACCAAGTCATAGAAGATAAGAGAGCACGCAGCTACTTAGAGGGATAGCCAGGACCCAGTGTCCATAGTGGGCGCCAACACAAACCAATCAACCCATTCTCTGACCTGTGTTAGTACAGGTCCCATCTATTTGTCTGCAAGGCCTGTGGGGAGACTCAAGATGCCCAGTCCCCACCCGGAGCCTGCCTCTTTCTGTTCCCACCCTCATGCTGTTCTCTACCCGAGAGGCTTCACACCCATGCACTATGGGCAACCCAAGTCTCTGCCATGTTTTGTTTGCACAAACATGTGCCATGTGTTGTTCCACAACACACCTGCCAGCTGGTCTCCCGTGAATCCAAATGCCCAAAGAGGAGGGCAGGGTAGCTCCTGCAGGTGGGCTGGAGGCCATGTGAGCAGGAAACTGTGGCCCCAGTCCCAAGTCACCAGACTGTAAGAGGGAAATGATGTAGGCTTTAGAAAGCCGCAAGGACACTTTGCATGGTGGGAGGTGAGGAACACTTAGAAAGTGGAAAGTCTCTCTGAGGCAGGTGGAAGAGCTGGCCCTGTGGTCGTAAGATTGGGAGAGCCATCCCTGCCCACCACCAACTGCAACACTCTGGAGAGCAGACCCTATACCTCACCAGGACAGCACAATAGAGTCAACCCTGTTAGCTCAGGTGTGGGTGAACCAGCCCTGAAATTGTGAGCATGGGAGAGTGGTCCCCATTACCCATCTGTCTTGTGGCAGCATGGACAGGAGACAGTTGCCGCACCCCCCATTAACACCTGGGGCAGGTGGGAGAGCTGACCCTGTGATCATAAGAACAGGAAAGCTGTCCCTGACCCTCATCAGCTGCAACACTTGGGAGAGCAGGCCCTGCACCTCACCTGGGCAGCACAATAGAGCTGACTCTGTTGGCAAAGATGTGGGTGAGTCAGCCCTGAAGTTGTGAGCATGGGAAAGCTGTCCCCATTTCTCATCTGGTCGGCCAACCCTATGGCTGTGCAGGCCCAGAACCAGGGTTATGACTTGGCACTCCCCAACATCCACGCCATCTATGATCTGCTGGAGTACATGAAGAAACCTGACCCAGAGACCAAAGTTGCAGGATCTCCATGACACAGGGCAACAACAGGATACCCAGGAAGAGCCCTAATGAGGACCCAGCATCAATAGTGTAGTAGAAACCAGAGACCTCGAACCAGACCAGACTCTTTGCAATGAACACCTGCAAGTAAAGATATATGGATAAAGAAGGTTACTGCATGACTTACTGTGTCACACTGCAGCTTCCATGATGAGAACTTTAATTTTTCCTTTTTTTAATTAATTTTTTCATTTTTCCCTTAAATTTTATTTTATTGGGGGCGGTGTGCAGGGATGGAGGGTGGGTGCAAAGGAACAGAAAAATGAATGAGATGAAGATATATGATGTAAAAGATGCATAGAATAAATTTTTTTAAAAAGACATCATAAAATGACAAAAAGAAGGAAGGAAGGGAGGGAGGGAGGGAGGGAGGGAGGATAGAAAGTCTGGAGAGAGTCCTGCCTGGGGCCAGCAGTTTTATCACCCATCCACAGAGAGGAAAGTTGGAAGAGTGATGTGCTAAGAAGAACTAAAGTGAACCCCTTGTTTCACAAATGTAAAAACTGGGAGCCAGAGAAAGGAAGAGGACACGCCCAAGTCCACAGAGCTGTGGAACCCGGTTCTCAAACATACCATATGCTCAATAACGTATCCTGTCTTCAAGTCTAGTTGCATGTGAGTGAGCAGAGGGACGCCAGAGCCCCAGAGCACAAGTCCCCCGACTCCTAGGTTGGCAATGCCCATTGCATCTCCCCTCCATTCCAGCTACGCCGAGCACCTGAATTTTCGGGGCTCTGAAGCCTTCCCACTCCTGATTTTCTATGAAAGACTGAAGTTCAAATGCAGAGCACAATTTACTCGGAGCAACCGAGGAATCGGAACCGCTGTGGTTAGAAGCAAAGCCTCTGCGGCAGTCCATTCTCTGCTTGTCTCCTCAGCCCAGACTTGGAAAGTCTGTGACCCCTCCCATCCTCCCCCCTGGGAGGGGGCACTGCCTGCATGACCTTCCCATCAGTCTCTCACCTGCCTGAGGCATGCTGCTCCAGGTACTGCTTCCAGCCTGGGCCCAGTTCATTGGGCTTGAGGTTGGGGTCTATGATGAGTTCCCAGCTGTCAGCTGGCTTTGCCACCTCCATCTTCTCATAGAAGACTTTCTTCCACTCACAAGTGGTCAGGCTGGTAGACATGGTCCCGTTGGCCTGGATGGAAATGTGAGCTCAGTCTGAGGAAGAACACAGAAAGCTTGGATAAATCGATGCAGTCTGGGCAGTCTCTGAGGTCCAAAAAGCCATACCCACAAGACCCAGCTCCCTCTTCTGTCACCCTGGAAGCTGTTGCTATGACAGCCAGGCAGGTACCAGGAGCCAGAGCTAGGGAGAAGGAAAGTCCCAAGTGAGAGTTCCAGGGTCCTGAGCTAGACTATAGAGGTAAACTGAGCAGCAACACCGACCAGGTAGAGAAAGTGAGTAGGAGGTGAGCCCCAGCCCAAACTGCCCAGGGCTGACAGAGATCCCCAGAGGACAAAGGTTATGTGGCGGCCCTGTTCACCCCACTGCTCTTGCACATTTCCTCCAGCCATGTGCTATGGCAACCGTAACACCCTAGGGAGCCCAGGAGAAACAGGATGGAGGTGAGGGACCTGATGCTCCCACACTTCTGATACACTGTGACCACTGTTCATCGTGTGCCAGGCACACGCTATTTGACCTGTGCATTAGCCGAGACAGACCAGAAAACAGGCTTAGGTAGCCTCCAAGAGCTCACCCACAGTTCAGATCCAGTCCTTCCTAAATGATACCTATCCTTTTGATTATTGCAAGAGTATTAAGCTCCTAACAGTGATTAAGAAAGGAGTGATACGCAGCAACTCGCTAGAGAATTGTCAGTCCACTTGGTGAAATAGAAGTAAGGTAATACACCATGAAAACCACAATGATGGCAATTCAGACTGCACGGTTGCAACATTCACTCCCTGCTCCCCAGGCTCACTGAGGCTGCTGGGAGGGGAGCTATTTCCTTCTGAGCTGCAGGCTGCGGCTGCCTCAGCTGCTGCAGAGCAGGCCACAGAGCACCTCATCTCCCTGATGCCCAAGCTAAATTCTTTAGAGACCAGAGGGGACTTAACTCTATATTTGCATAATCCAGGGAAGGTGGCCCCGCCCCCTCAGAGGATGTGGTGTTATACCTGGACTCTGCCCGGAACGCTGTGAGGTTTCCGTGATGCGTGATGCCTGTAGCCCATCTCCTGTCAGCTCTTTAACCTGAAGCTTCTGCTCCCTGGAGCCGTGGAGATGGCAAAAGTAGGCAGAACTCAGAAGGGTTGCAGAAGCTGCGAGTTATCGTTGCTACAGGGTTCCAGATTTGTCACGTGCCTCCATATGGTTTCCATGTGGGGTGAGGTTGGGAGCAGTGACACCGGGTGTCCTTCAGATTAGAGAAGTGTCCCTTCCCTAGTTCTGTGTTAACTGCAGAAAGGAAGAAGCTGTGTTATAAAGCCACGAAGAACTACTGACTTCCGGTTTCTCTCTTTTCTCCAACTCAAATCCCTACACCCCAGCCCTCCTTCCTTTCTCTTTTTACTTTTACTTTTATCTTTATTTATTTCCTTTTTGAAAAGGTCTCACTATGCAGCCCTGGATGGGCTGGAACTCACTATGTAGAACACACTGGCCTGGAACTCGCTGAGATCCGCCTGCCTCTGCCTCTCAAGTGCTGGGATTAAAGGCTTGGGCCACCGCATCCAACCCAAATCTCTTCATAGTGAATCAGGACAACTAGGGTCTAGAAATGGGTAAGGAACCCCCAAAAGAACTCTGGGCTCACTGAGGACTCTCCCGTAATCAGCTACAAAGCAGGTGACATGCAGAACCCATGGTTTCCCAGAGCTGAAGGAAGCTGAGAGACCTGGCCTGGCCTAGAGCTGAGTGCCATGGTCCCACTCTGAGACTACTCTGCCATTGTTCCCAGACCAAATGATGAAGGAAAAACAAAGGGACAGTGAGAATTGCCAGGGTTCATCTGTTTTGCTTTGCTTTGTTTTTCTCTCAGATGATGCAATCCCCTTAGGCACAGGATCACACTTAAGTTAGAAGGAAGTCCTCTAAGCAGAGACCAATGTCATTCATCTTCCTAGACAACAGTGCTCTTCGCGCTGGAAAGTCCTGCTTGGGATCCCATCAATGAGTGCAGCAATTACTAGACAATGAGTGTAGCAATTACTATACAATGAGTGTAGCAATTACTACCTCAGTCTTCTCAGTGTCGTGCTGGGCTGCACCATTAAGAAGCTCTCCATGTGGGCACATTGCTCACTGGCAGCTCACAGTTCAGAGCCGCCTTAGCATCACTCTGGATGATATTCTTTAAAATGAACTAATTTCAGCCTAAATAAAATAACAGTGTCCACCTATATCCCACAAGCAAAACACGCTCTTCTTGTATTCTTCTATGAAATGTCAAGTAATCAATACTTGTGCAAAAGGACTTTCTTTAGGGAACACAATATCCCTCCACCAGCTCTGTGCTGGGCTGAATCCCACCACAGCTGGTCACTGTTACTGACAGGCAGGTGATAAGCCATGGGGTACCCAAAGTTCAAGTAAAATGACTCAATGGCTCATGGTATTTCTAAACAAATCCAGGGAAACAAAAGCTGTGTTATACCTTCCTGTCTCCAAGTTCAAAGAACCTTAGCAGGTCCTTGATGGACGCTTTTCAAGTGATTTTGGAAGACTTCCCCATCCACAGACCCCAGCACTCAGTTCACTGTGGTCCAGGCACGATCCGCTCTTCCGGTGGAAGTGACTCTTGAGTCTTAGGCTAGGTCACCTGGTCAGAGCAGTTGACAGGCTGTCCAGCAGTGGTGCCTAGGGAGGAAGGCATGTTGCCTGCATTGTCCTTTCATCAGTGAGCAACAGCCAGAGCAAACCCAAGCTGGCCGCTTTCCATCACCACTAGTATTCCAGGGTTTGAGCTCCTCCTGCGTTCTTCCAGCCCCCGGAGGCTCATAACAACTTATGACTAGACAAGAATCAAGAGTTCCAGTGAGTACTTACAAGTAAGGGTGACTAAGGATAAGGATGCTATACTGCATATTTCAAAAGCTAGAAAATTATTTTGAATATTCTCACCATAAATAAGTAATACATTCTTGAGGAAATATGTTTGTCCTAATTTTAATATTACAAAGCATATATATGTATCTAAAATCACATAATACCCTCAAATAATTTTTAATTTTCATGTGTTTATTTAAATCAATTTTAAAAAAAAAACAGACTATCTGGTCTATGGACATGTCTCAGTGGTAGAACACTTGCCTAGATAAATAAGGCCTGAGCTTGAGCTCTAGGACCCTTACAAAAAAAGAGAGTGGCCACAATCTATCTAGTTACACTGTATTAGCTAGTTTTCTATTGCTGTGATAAAACACCATGACCAAGGCAGCTTAGAAGAGGAAGGGTTTATTTGGGCCTGCAGTTCCAGACATGATGGCCATGTGAAGGCGTGGCAGCAAGAACAGGAAACATTTTGAATCTCAAGCATGAAACACAGAGAGAATTAGAAATGGCGCAAACCTTTTAACTCCCAAAGCCCACCCCAAGTAGTGCACTTCCTCCATTAAGGCCACACCTCCCAGACCTCCAAAACAGTGTTATTAACTGGGGACTAAGTATTCAAATGCCTGAAACTATGGGGGAATGCCTCATACATCCAAACCATCACTTATACCTAGGCAGAGACCCAGTAAAGGATCATCGCACTACTTACAAGTGTAAACAAAAGATTGGGGAGGGAGAATGGGAAGCTTGGACAAGGACAGGGAGCAGGAGTTGAATGGGAAGCAGGACACTTTGAGCAGGCACAGCTGGTTCCAAGTTGAGGGACTCCATTAAGTTTCCTTGGCTATATTCGGATGCTGCTAGTTGATCTGGATATTATACACACAAATAATTACGATTCCACTCTGGGACAATCCCAGGCATCATGGTGTAGGGAAAGGGAACACCGGGTAGTTTGTGCTAGCTTTTCAAGCATTCATTCTAAAATGACACCAGCCACTTCCTGTGCTGATTTGGATGAGAAATATACCATGTAGGCTTGTGTATTTAAATTCTTGGTCCCTAGTTGATAGCTTTAGGAAATGCAGTCTTGCTGGAGAAAATATGTCACCGGGGAAGGACTTTAAAGGTTTATAGTCTTAGTCTATTCTATAGACTGCTTCTTGATCTCTCTCTCTCTCTCTCTCTCTCTCTCTCTCTCTCTCTCTCTCTCTCTCTCTCTCTCATATGTATAAGTGAAAATGTCATCAACCAGCTGCTGCTCTTGCCTCTACACTTTCCCTGACTCTTGTCCTGCCTTCTTGACCAATGATGGACTCTATCCCTCTGGAAGCACAAGCTAAGATAAACCCTTTATTATTATGGTATTTTATCACAGCAACCAAAAAGTTCCCCACCAGAAGCAGCTAGCTTCATAAAACAGTGGAATGACCTTTTAAAGATGAAGTTACTGCACCAATTAGGTGGCAGTGCCCCGTGTGTCTAGGGCAGGGCCCTCCACAAAGTGGTATGTGCTTTGAATCAGCAACCAGTACATGGTAGTATTTCTCCTATAGCCAGGATCCACAGGCTCAGGAATCACTGGGTAGAAATGGAAATGATCCCCACTCAGGTAAATGATGACCCACTTGGAAAATTTCTGTTTTCTGAACTTACATTCTGCTGGCCTGGAACCAGCATTCTATTGAACTGGAAGCCAAGACTTCCTCCTGGCTTCTTTTGGCTTCTAATGCCCTTAAGCCAACAGACTAAGAAAGTAATAACAATGTTAGGTGAGGTGATTAATCTAGACTACAGTGGGGAAATTGGACTGTTCCTCCAAAGGGGAGGAGAGGAAGACTATGTCTGGAGTATAGGAAATCCTCTAGGGCATCCCTTGGTGTTACTGGATCCTGTGATTAAATTGGGTGAATTACAGCAACCCAATCCAGGCAGGATGACAAAGTGCTCACGCCCTTCAGGAAGGAAGGTCTGGCTCGCTCCTCTAGGACAAGAACTAAGACCTGCTGAGGTTCTTGCTGAGGGTGGAGGAAATACTAAAGGGGTGGTGGAAGAAAGTTGTTACATAAATATCAACTCAAGTCACACAACCAGATGCAAAAATGAAGATAGTAATTCACAGGAGTGTTTCTGTCTTACTTTGTGTTTCTGCATAGAGACACATATATTAGCCTGATAGTTGTATTTTCTTTTTTATGTTTCTTTATTGTGATGTGTAACATCAGTTACAGCTAATATCAGTGGTTAA